GTGTGTTTGGGAACGGCCCTCCACCCTCAGAGATAAAAGCATACATTTCATCATGAGGGACGCCCGACGCATCGCTTGTCTGAGTTCACCGTCAAATGACTGCAGCTTGACAAATAGCTGCAATGTTTCAAGTGCAGATTTTGGACGGTACTGTAGACGCTATGCTTCAAGACCCGCGTAAGCAGACTGGAGACCACATTTGCGCTCCGAGGTCCCGCATTGTCCCATAGTGTTTCATATGGTTTCATGATCATCCAGCTTTTGTCCAGCTCCATCCATCATGACCGTGTTTCAGGGCTTACTTGCTGGTAGATCTGGTATGATGCTGGTCGGAGTGCTGCTCAGTGAAGGGGGGTTCCAGCCTATTCGGTCTGGCTTTGCCACACTAAAGCTCGCCGTTTCCTGGACCCAGAAAACCTCACCGATATCCTTCAATGGTCGCAATCCGTTGTCTAGAAGTGCCTTCAAACCTATGCTTTGGAGGCATTGAATTCTACAGATAGAATTCGCAAGCTTGAGGGGTCGAAACATTGGTGAGCCAATTGTGGTGTTACCTCATGGCATGTCAATGTTTTCACACTGCGCTGCATATCGTGTAAACAAAGGGCAAAGGCATGGCAAAGGCAGAGTAATCCCCTTCCCCCTAATATTGAGCACCCCCTGGGAACCAAGGCTTAGTAGGTTACACATGGTTACACAATTACACATATTTGGGAGTATTTGGGACCGTTTAGGGGGTGTTTCATCTTAGGGGGATGGGATTAGTTTAGTGCCGTCAGTGGCAAAGCCCCAAGTGGCCGCGATGTTGACCCGAGTTTCCATGTCCGCGGGGCATCTCTTGATCTGAAATGATGGCATGTCAGAGCAGAAATGCCTCTCAGCAAACGAGCCCTGGCGCTGCATTGCGCCTGTGCCTCCTCTTGGATGTTTGGGCCAAAAAAAGTTGGCTTGGGAGCGGCTGAGGGGTCATTGTTGGGCCGAAACATGCCGAAACAAAACCATACAGAACCTCTAGTTTTTCTGTAACTACGACACAGTGAGAATTCAGAAGTGAGCATGACCTGTCCATTATTTGTCCTCGGTCATGAGTTGGTCAGGTCGAAGTGGATCCCATAGAATCACAAATCAAATGAACGCGATCTGCGCAGGTCGCGGAAGTTCAAAGCAACATTCCTGGCATCGCCACTCTGAAGTGTCCTCGTTTTGGTATCTTGCCGCATTTTGCTGCCTTGAGCCAATGTTTAAAATCATTCCTCGCTGGCGTCCTAGCATACCATGCCAAAACCTGTTCCTGAATCAAGGATTTTCCAACAGCTCTAACATAGAAGATGAAGAGCGCGTAGATCCAGGATTGTTTATATAAAGCAAGATGCGAGTACTGTCATTCTTCATGATCTATCATTTTCTCATAGCGGCTATGCAAGGAAACCATGTCCAGACAATGTCCAGACTTACTGGATTAGACTTACTGAACATGTCGAATGCGGAAGGTGAAGGGTGAGCTATGCAACATTATGCAACTATATATGCATCGCATACTATGCGACCATACGCAACCATCTTAGACATTTTAGACACCTTCGACCCCAATGGATGATGACAAGGGATAACACATAAACGAATAATTGAGCAGTGTTCAAAGCCCTGTTGGTTGGTGGTTATAGAGGGTTAGGCCACCTCAAACATATAAGCTAATTGTATGTGTATTTTCTATGTATGTATAATACGTGTATATATATATATATATATCTATCTATCATATGTATTGTCGAAGGAAGTTTAGAAGTCAAACTTCCGACAATATGGACAGATGAAAAGCAGAGATGGGAAGAGTCGCAGAGATGGGAAGAGTCAGAGAAGAGGAGAGAAGAAGAAAGAAGATCAAAAAGGGAAAGCCTCTGAAGAAAGCAGATCCAGGTGCGCGAAAAGGTAGGAAAGTCGCGAAACACTGTGTTTTTCCAATGATTTGTGGCTCCGGAGGGTCAAAGAGTAGGCTCGCTAAAGCGGCGGGTGCGGAGCCCACTGGCCAGATGAGACTTTGTGAAGTTGAGATGTCGAAAAAGTGCACGCCGTTGTGGCGCGAAGCACGTTTCCAAGTCAAAATGTACAAAACACCTCAGCTCCGGAGCACTTTGAAAGTTGAGATGTCGAAAAAGTGCACGCCGTTGTGGCGCGAAGCACATTTCGAAGTCAAAATGTTAAAAGCACCACATGCTCGGACCACTTTTAGACGTTCAGATGTCGTTTCATGTGGCCGGTGCACGGGATTGTGCACCTTGTCAAAAGTGAGCAAAACGTGAGGGTTTTGTAGCATTTCCAAAAACGATGGCAGGCGTGGGACATTTAAAGAGGATCTGCAAAGATGCATTTTCCGTGGCAGGCGCAGTAATGCCAACACCGGATTATTAACCCCCCCCCCACCAGGTAGGTAGGTAGGTAGGCAGGCAGGCAGGCAGGTAGGTAGGTAGGTAGGTAGGTACCTTCTGGCTAGTTTTCTTGACCACCCCTAATAAACGCACCCTGAACCATAAAATTCTGAACCATAAAACTTTGGATATGGCTTACGTCAATTAGATCTTAATAGAATTCCATTGGATTTGTTTAAATCTCATGGATCAGAAAGGGGGGTTGATTAATCAGGGGCAAACCGTGGTTATTGTTAATGGGGGACATGGGCTCATGGGGGGTACCCTTTGGGAGCTATCCAAACTGATGATTTTCATAAAGATTTTAATTAGAAATCGATCATTTGGGGAATAGTTGTTTTTTGAAATTTTCAATGATCAACTTAAACCTTAAGTACAACAATGATGATTTAAAAAAAAGTAAAAAATAATTGGAAATAAAAGGAATTGGAAATAACAATTGTTGGATAAAAAATGAATTTCAGCACTGGTGGTTGATTAATCGGGGGTAGGCCAAACGATTTATTTATCAGGGGGGACCACCTGTTTTTAAATTACCATTTTTTTTTGGCAGTGGTGGTTGATTAATTGGGGGGGATTATTAATCCTCACTTGACATTACAAGAGACATGTTCATCAGAGCTGTTAGGAGGTCCGGGCGCTGATTCCCTGAGAGGGGTTGCATTTTGGAGCATCAGATCTTCAGGTTTGCTGAGATGATTTTGCGTGACAGGTGCAGCACTTCGTATGACCTGGCATCACTTTTTCGTGGCAGGCGCAGTACTTTTGACAGGTGGAGTGGAAAAATCGCAAAACGCATTGCTACGAGGCCGTCAGCTCTGCACTCAACTTTCCATTTTTGAAGGAAGTCTCGCAGAATTGCCTTGTTTTTGATGCTGTCAACTTTGAAAATTGAGGAAGTCTCGCAGAATTGTTGATGCTGTCAAGTTCAAAAATTGAGGAAGTTTAGCAGAATTGTTGATGCTGTCAAGCTCAAAAATTGAGGAAGTCTCGCAGAATTGTTTCGTTTTTGACGTTGTCAAGTTCCAACATTGAGGAAGTCTCGCACAAGTGCTGCGTTTTCAAGCTTGCAGATAGGCAGATAGACAGACAGACAGACAGAGAGAGAGAGAGAGAGAGAGAGAGAGATAGATAGATAGATAGATAGATTGATTGATTGATAGACAGATAGATAGATAGATTGATTGATTGGTAGATTGATGGATAGACAGATAGATAGATAGATAGATAGGTAGATAGGTAGATAGGTAGATAAGTAGATAGGTAGATAGGTAGATAGGTAGATAGGTAGATAGATAGGTAGATAGGTAATTAGATGAAAGAGAGAGAGAGAGATAGATAGATAGATAGATGATAGATATATAGATACATAGATAGATAGGTAGGTAGGTAGGTAGATAGTCAGAGAAAGAGAGAGATAGAGAGGAGAAAGAGAGGAGACCTCAAGCACCTTTCGGTCCATCAGTGGATTCGCTCTGCCATCCGTGATTCACAACAACCAACCTCTCCTATAGGTTTCCTATTTTTGAAACTTCCGCCACCGCCTTGTGCGGTACTACTGGTATATATATCAATATATGGTAACGACATTTAGATATGTGGAGGGCGGGCCAGACCGCGAGGCCCCGGAGGTAATATGAAATACCTGTTCGTATATTTAGATACATTCACCGTATGTTTAAATGAACTGGATTCCGTATGTTTACATGGCCGGGCGGGCCAAGGAAAACCTTCCCGGAGGTAGTCTAAAATACCTGTTCGTATATTGAAAAGTCCGTATATTTAAATGTAGCTACCGTATGTATATATATATATGTATATGCCTAAGCATACAACGTTTGAACGGGCACTGTATGGCTATGCTAAATGGTTGCCTTTCTAAAAAAATTAGGATGGGTTTGAACGGGTTTGAACGCATCTCAATGGGTTTCAACCTGTCTGGGGTTTTGAGCGAATATTCCTAGGGTGCCCTGAGAATTTCGAAGGCAAAGGGCAAATTACATCAAATGTTTGCCCTAGGTGTTCTTTGGTTTCAAGTCTCAGGTACAAACATGTATATATATATACCGTATATCGGCTTGGGCATTATCATCATCCATTCGGGAATCACTATTAACCAAAGAGAGAGAATGGAATGACAATCCCCGGTTTCGAACTCTGCTCAATTAGTGCACCTTAGGTCTTGGCAGCCAAGAGTGCCGCAGGATTCTTGAGCTGCTTGAAACCAGAAGCGACAAGAGGTGACCAGAGGCCGAACGAAGCTGGTGTTGTTTCGCTGTTTCTCACCCAGGTAGAAACGGTATGATATGCCCACTATTTAGATTGGATCATAATCTTTGCTCAGCACTTTGGCTCAGAATCTCGAACTGCTCACTTTGACATTGAGTGTCTGACGCGGTTGTGAGGCTAGGCAACACTGAAATGTGCAAACAACGCATCTCACTTGATGTCCTTTACAGATGCTGCACATGATGAACCCTGAAATAGATTCCAGACATTTCCAGAGTGTATACACAAATTATATGATATGTCCACCCTTTTTTGGCGCCGTTCTGCGGAATTGATACTGAGGTCATGGCCTTTGAGTTGACCTACCGCTTGACCTTCATCGACACCGTGGAGGCTCCGGCCATTGGAGCCTTGCCTCGTTCCCGCAGCTTGCCAGTTTTGGGCAGCGCCCCAACTGCAGATGAGGAGGTTCAATACCAGGCGCCTCGGCAGGTTTTCAGGTGTCAGTGACTCCTTCACAGAGAGTCAGAGAGTCGGAGGGTCTTCATCATGAGGTCATCTGTGTCATTGTCATTGTTATGTAATTAGTTTATCATAACTTGTCTTATTTTCAAATATGTTCATCACTTTATTGTCTTCCTGGGAGAATAGCTCATCTATGATCATCTATGTGCATCGCATGATTTTGTCATCGACATGACCGTACCTCGGAAATCGCCAAGCAAAAAAAAACATGATTTGTATTGATGTGTGGTGTAGTTTGGTGCCAAGGCCTATGTGAGTCAGCTCTCGCAGCAGATGGCTGAGAAAGATTTGACTTTCCTGGCTCGGCAACCAGAAGTGGCTGAAGCCGAGAATGAAGCGACGAAGTCAGAAGAAGCAGAACCAGGACCTCCAAGTCTTGGCAGCATCGGTCATGAGTGGGGTTTGTGTCGACGCCCTTGCATTTACCACCTTTCTTGCGGTACTTGCACCAAGGGAGCAGATTGTACCTTGGCTGAGGCATGCTTGTGGTGTTGAAATGAATCAAGTCCAAGAGTAGGGCTAGGCAGGTAGCAGCAGTACAACGGTAGAAACACAGCAGTTGCATACAGATGCGATACATATTTTAGCTGTAGCCCTTTGCTGGAATGTTCCATTTGAGGCGGCTTTTGCCACATGCCTCATGGAGAGCGAGTTCCAAAGCTTGACAAGCAACAGCGCACTGTGCTACAAGAGCTAGGCGCTGGAGAGCTGTTGGCTTTGGTTCTGGAGCCATTGAGGGCCAAAGCGGCGCAGATGGGACTGGAGGAGAATGCAGCAGAGCTCATTGAGTTGTTGGAGATGGAGCGTGCTGGGCAAACCTCCGTGCTCAAGAACAACAAGAAGCATCCAAAGCTGCATTGCATCCGAAAGATCATGGGCCGCATGAGCATTGCGGGCCTGGTGGGCATTGCTGGGTACAGCCAGACCGGGACAGATTTTCGTGATCGGTTGACGGGAGCAGTCGAGAAGATGCGTGGTCAGCTCCAGTGACGTGGCATGAGGCTGTTGTCCTGGAGTTCGGAACGCAAAAGGCTCGGGGGTGATTGTGCAGTACAGTATTTACAGTAACTGATTTGATTTCATGTCAGTCAGGGGATGGCTATGAATGCCGCAGGTTTGAGAGTTGGAAATTGAAGGGGTGCTCTTCACAGAACAAATCTCGGGTACTTTGACAGTGGCATGTGTTCTAACATTAGGAAAATCTTGGGCCTGCAAACATTGGAAATTCCAAAATAATTATGTTGTCATTTTTTTGCATTTTGGTTGCATTTTTTTTTGCATTTGGGTTTGTCATTTTGAATTTGTGTTGTCATTTTTTGTCATTTTTTTATCATTTCTTTGTCATTTCTTTGTCATTTTTTGTCATTTGTTTGTCATTTTATTGTCATTTTATTGTCATTTTGGGAACGGGAAAATGGAGAAAAAAAATGTTAAAAAATGACTACCATGACAGACCTTTTGTTACCTCGTGGCAGCACCAAATACAAGGAACAAGTGCAAAAACTCTTGGATAGCCAGCCGGCGGTGAAGAAGGATAGGGCAGGGGAGCTTGCCCTGGGGAATTCGTTTTTGGGCCTGCCTGGACGAGGAGTTGTCTCCCGGCTCGGGGTGCAGGGCCGGCTCAAAAACCGGGTGGGGGGGGCCGGGGCCGGGGTGAAATGGCCCGGGGGGGGGGCGGCTCAGGCCCGAGAAGCCGGGCCGACCTGGAAACTCCAAAAACGCAACTTTACCAGCACGCGAGTCATTTTGTGCATATTTTTGGCATTTTCTTTGTGTTTTTTTTGCATTTGTTTTTGCATTTTTTTCGCATTTTTTTGCATTTTTTTTGCATTTCCCAGACTAGGAGTCATTTTTTTTGCATTTTTGTTTGCATTTCCCAGACTGGGAGTCATTTTTTGGGCACTGTTTTGCATTTCCCAAACCGGGAGTCATTTTTTGCATTTTTTTGCATTTCCTAGACCGGGTTTGCCACCTTCACCGCTTGCCTGATCCTTATGAGAAAACGACAAGAAAATGAACAATGCTAGAAAGTAGAAAACGACAAGAAAACGACAACAAAATGACAAGAAAATGGCAACGAAATTACTTAACAAATGACAAAAAAAATGACGAAAACATGGCAAAACATGACACCACAAAACAGGAATGACAAAAAAATGCAAAAACCAAATGACAAAAAAATGACCCAAAAAAAATGACAAAAATAAATAACCAACAACCCTCAGAGTTTGCTGGTAAGATTTTCATAATTCTAACATGTTGCATTATCAATGGGTTGTCCTCCATCGCAAGGGGCTTCCAATTCACAGCACTGGAGAGGACAGACAAGACTGTGGCCGTGGCCGAGGGCCGTTGAGGCTGCATGTTGGAAGGTTTATGGTCGTTGCCGTTGAGGCTTGATGCCATGCTAGAATGTTGCTGAAGGAGCCAGCAAGCTGCATAGATCTCAGACAGAGCTGAAGCCTTGCATGACGAAGGAAGATCTCATCTGCAAGGGGTCAGGGGTGGTCCTGGAACAGCGGAAGGCTGTGCCAGAAAAAACGGATGGGTTGATGTTCATGACTTGAAGATGTGTTGCTGGCCCATGGCCTAGCCAAGACTTGTGGGGATGGGTGCCTAGGTTTGTTCAGGGATCGAGAGTTAGAGTCCAAAGCCAACCTGACCCCGCCCATGCTTTAGATTTCTGTCTGCAAATTCAATCCATTGTTGGTCCAATTCTGCCATTCTTGGCGCAGCCCTTTGTTTCCAATGGCAAAATCTTGTGAAGCCATGCTGTCGCCCCAGTGTTCCGTACGGTGCAGTGGCACAGTCAAACATTATAATTAGATTTCAAGGGGCTCGGTACGCCTGGCGCAGCATGTCAACACATGTCAACACATTGCATGCCATCGCATGTTTGACTGCGTGCGAGGTTTCACATTCAATTCACTGCTACAGTGTCCAGCGGTTCAACAGGATCAAGCTGATCCTGCGATCGAAATGCCTCGCTCTAGCAGGCTCGTGTGAAGAAATGGCCGGAAGTTTCGAGCAGGCCAATTGCCGAAGATTGCCGGTGGCTGCCAGTGTTCAATACCAGCAATTAGACTGGACCAATACACTGGACCTGGCACTACTTGTACAATGTATTCAATATTCTGATTCAGCAAGTGGTGTGTTTGGGAACGGCCCTCCACCCTCAGAGATAAAAGCATACATTTCATCATGAGGGACGCCCGACGCATCGCTTGAGTCTGAGTTCACCGTCAAATGACTGCAGCTTGACAAATAGCTGCAATGTTTCAAGTGCAGATTTTGGACGGTACTGTAGACGCTATGCTTCAAGACCCGCGTAAGCAGACTGGAGACCACATTTGCGCTCCGAGGTCCCGCATTGTCCCATAGTGTTTCATATGGTTTCATGATCACCCAGCTTTTGTCCAGCTCCATCCATCATGACCGTGTTTCAGGGCTTACTTGCTGGTAGATCTGGTATGATGCTGGTCGGAGTGCTGCTCAGTGAAGGGGGGTTCCAGCCTATTCGGTCTGGCTTTGCCACACTAAAGCTCGCCGTTTCCTGGACCCAGAAAACCTCACCGATATCCTTCAATGGTCGCAATCCGTTGTCTAGAAGTGCCTTCAAACCTATGCTTTGGAGGCATTGAATTCTACAGATAGAATTCGCAAGCTTGAGGGGTCGAAACATTGGTGAGCCAATTGTGGTGTTACCTCATGGCATGTCAATGTTTTCACACTGCGCTGCATATCGTGTAAACAAAGGGCAAAGGCATGGCAAAGGCAGAGTAATCCCCTTCCCCCTAATATTGAGCACCCCCTCGAAACCAAGGCTTAGTAGGTTACACATGGTTACACAATTACACATATTTGGGAGTATTTGGGACCGTTTAGGGGGTGTTTCATCTTAGGGGGATGGGATTAGTTTAGTGCCGTCAGTGGCAAAGCCCCAAGTGGCCGCGATGTTGACCCGAGTTTCCATGTCCGCGGGGCATCTCTTGATCTGCAATGATGGCATGTCAGAGCAGAAATGCCTCTCAGCAAACGAGCCCTGGCGCTGCATTGCCTGTGCCTTCTTGGATGTTTGGGCCAAAAAAAGTTGGCTTGGGAGCGGCTGAGGGGTCATTGTTGGGCCGAAACATGCCGAAACAAAACCATACAGAACCTCTATTTTTCTGTAACTACGACACGGATAGAATTCAGAAGTGAGCATGACCTGTCCATTATTTGTCCTCGGTCATGAGTTGGTCAGGTCGAAGTGGATCCCATAGAATCACAAATCAAATGAACGCGATCTGCGCAGGTCGCAGAAGTTCAAAGCAACATTCCTGGCATCGCCACTCTGAAGTGTCCTCGTTTTGGTATCTTGCCGCATTTTGCTGCCTTGAGCCAATGTTTAAAATCATTCCTCGCTGGCGTTCTAGCATACCATGCCAAAACCTGTTCCTGAACCAAGGATTTTCCAACAGCTCTAACATGGAAGATGAAGAGCGCGTAGGTCCAGGATTGTTTATATAAAGCAAAATGCGAGTACTGTCATTCTTCATGATCTATCATTTTCTCATAGCGGCTATGCAAGGAAACCATGCTTTTCATATCATGCCCAGACATGTCCAGGCTTACTGGATTAGACTTACTGAACATGTCGAATGCGGAAGGTGAAGGGTGAGCTATGCAACATTATGCAACTATATATGCATCGCATACTATGCGACCATACGCAACCATCTTAGACATTTTAGACACCTTCGACCCCAATGGATGATGACAAGGGATAACACATAAACGAATAATTGAGCAGTGTTCAAAGCCCTGTTGGTTGGTGGTTATAGAGGGTTAGGCCACCTCAAACATATAAGCTAATTGTGTGTGTATCATCAGTATTATCTATGTCTGTATTTATATATATTTGTATATATATATATATTTGTATATATATATAAATACCATGTGTATTGTCGAAGGAAGTTTAGAAGTCAAACTTCCGACAATATGGACAGATGAAAAGCAGAGATGGGAAGAGTCGCAGAGATGGGAAGGGTCAGAGAAGAGAAGAGAAGAAGAAAGAAGATCAAAAAGAGAAAGCCTCCGAAGAAAGCAGATCCAGGTGCGCGAAAAGGTAGGAAAGTCGCGAAACACTGTGTTTTTCCAATGATTTGTGGCTCCGGAGGGTCAAAAAGTAGGCTCGCTAAAGCGGCGGGTGCGGAGCCAGCTGGCCAGATGAGAGATGAAAAATTGCACGCCGTTGTGGCGCGAAGCACATTTCCAAGTCAAAATGTACAAAACACACCACGTTCGGACCACTTTTGGAAGTTGAGATGTCAAAAAAGTGGACGCGGTTGTGGCGCGAAGCACATTTCCAAGTCAAAATGTACAAAACACTTCAGCCCTGGATCACTTTGACAGTTGAGATGTCGAAAAAGTGCACACCGTTGTGGCGCGAAGCACATTTCGAAGTCAAAATGTTAAAAAGCACCACATGCTCGGACCACTTTTAGACGTTCAGATGTCGTTTCATGTGGCAGGTGCACGGAATTGTGCACCTGGTCAAAAGTGAGCAAAATGTGAGGGTTTTGTAGCATTTCCAAAAACGATGGCAGGCGTGGGACATTTAAAGAGGATCTGCTAAAGATGCATTTTCCGTGCCAGGCGCAGTACAAGAGACATGTTCATCAGAGCTGTTAGGAGGTCCGGGCGCTGATTCCCTGAGAGGGGTTGCATTTTGGAGCATCAGATCTTCAGGTTTGCTGAGATGATTTTGCGTGACAGGTGCAGCACTTCGTATGACCTGGCATCACTTTTTCGTGGCAGGCGCAGTAGTTTAGACAGATGGAGTGGAAAAATTGCAAACACATTGCTACGAGGGCGTCAGCTCTGCACTCAACTTTCCATTTTTGAAGGAAGTCTCGCAGAATTGCCTCGTTTTTGATGTTTTCAACTTTGAAAATTGAGGAAATCTCGCCGAATTTTTGGTGCTGTCAAGCTCAAAAATTGAGGAC